AAAAACCCACGATACAAAACACATTTATTTAAATTTGCTTGGAAATTTCCATTGATTCCTATGTAAATTTGATAAAAATCGATGTTCAAGCAGCCCTGGCTCAAAAACAAGCATGGTGTGGTACATATTTTTTTGTAAATTTCTTTGAGGTCTACCAAGATCTATAACATATCCACATAAAATTAAAATCGCTAGGGCAGAATTTTTTATTTTTGCATTTTTCAGCAAAATTAAGGGCATTTTGGCAAAATCCCCATATAACGCAATGTAATAAACGTAGCGTTTTTCGGGACGCCACCTCTCGAAAACGAGCGTGGAGACCCCCAATTTTTTTTTTCATATTTTTTACTCATATTGTAAGAAGATTTTGTCTTACAATTTTAATCAAAATCGCTAGGGCAGAAATATGAAATCTGAAATATGAGAGGGCGTCCTTAAAGCGGGTATTCCCCATTGAATACAACTTTGAATTGATTCAGTTTTTGTGTGTGTGTGTGTGTGTGTGTGAGTGTGTGTGTGTGTTTTAGACCTGTGGTATTCCACCTCTATATTGGGTTTGGGCGAGTACATTTTTCCGGTGAAGAACCACGGCCATTCCACGAAAAAGGGTACAATTCCAAAACGAGAAATTTTTAATTCTGATTTTATTTCTGATAAATATATATATATTTAATACGGGGTAATATCTTTAACAGCAAGCGTTATGAATGCATACTACATCAAAACCACAGAAATAACGTTTTAAAGTATTTACAGCAGGGCCGTAGCCTCCGGGGGGGGGGGGGGGGGGCCAGCTGCCCCCCCTGGGATTTGAGGTGCAAAAAAAAAATTATCCACGAAATGAAGTCCAATTGGCGTGTTGTGTTGAAAAATGACTGTACTTCTGGCAAAATGAACCCATAATTTCTGACTTCTGATTGAGCAATAATTAAATAACAGTTATAATGCAACAGAATGCAGTATTAGACATACAGTTTTTTAAAATTTTCCACACCGTGGGAGGGGGCCACCCCCTCCCCCCTCGGGGCCTTCGCCCCCTCATGTCCGCTTACTGCCCCCCCTGGCATTTTTCTCAGGCTACGGCCCTGTACAGTCGTTTTTTTATTACAATTAACATATTTTGTGACGGAGGTTAGCATAACGGAAGTAAGGTGACATGCATTCTTTTTCAGTTTTTATCCGCGGGATTACTTTTCATGACTTTTGAATGAATTTTTTAGGAAGAAATTGATCCTTCCTTATCAAAAATGATGTTTTTTTTTTAACTTTCAAAGCAACACTTTCTTCAAATTTGGTGACGTTACTGAAGTTAGGCTCTTAAATGTGACACAGCAACTATTGTGTGTTTACATTCTCTATGATGGAACGCATTATTTAAAATTAACATATAGCACTGTTTTATTAAACTTAATGTATTATGAGTTTGAAAAATGCATAGGATGGCCATTTAAGAGCATTTTCGTTTATTCTTACATTGACTTAAAAAGGCTTTACGGAGATTAGGGGTTACTGAGCGACAATGATTAAACTATGACGGTGTCGTAACTAAGCAACAAATTCGACAGAGAACAACATGTATGATAAAAAGAAACATGAATTCAAATTAGTTGAGGACTAAAAATACTAAAAGACGGGAAAATATAAACGTTTTCTCGTGGCAAATCAGCTATAATACCGAAGCGACGTATAAATCGTGTTTTTTGCGGCATATAGGCCCCCGGGGTTCCCGTCAAAGCGAGTGGTAGGCAACTATATCAATTGTTGTCTTTTATTGGGGTCCTGCTAAAAAAGGCCAAAAAAGCAAAATTGCAGATACTTTTACTACCGAAAATAAGCTGCGACAGGTGTTATTCAGAATTGTACCCTTTTTCGTGGAATGGCTGACCAGATTTTTGCACATTTGTCGAGCGTAATAATAATAAAAATGATTTATAATCATATCAATACATATATAAGTATAAAATGAAAAGTTATTTTATCAATCGATAAAATAATTTCATAAAATTAAAATAATTAAAGCCTACTTATTAAAATACGTATTGAGTGAAAACTAGTTTTGGTTGGTGTGCTTACTATGAAGAAAGGAAGGTCAAATATCAAATTCGGTCAGACTATGAGGCCCAATGGATGATTTCCTATTGAAGTTTAATAGTAACTATGGGCATACCTTTGTTAACTGCAAACTGCAGTTCATGGTTAAAAGTAGGTCAAAGGTCTGTTTAAAGATCACAGTGAGATTGCCAATAATTGACTTCCTATTCAAGTTCAATAGTAACTATGGGAATATCTCTTCCAGTTCAGAACATAGTAGGGATGGAAAATTTGCAAAGTACAGTTCATATTGAAAAGTGGGTCATGGTCATAGTCAAGGTCACAAGATTGCCAATATATGACATTAAATTCAAGTTCAATTGTAAACTGTGTCATATCTCCACTAGTTTCTGAGTATTTCACATTTTATTTTCACCACTCAACATTGTGACATTCTTTTTTTAATTGAATTTCTCCTAAATGTATGGAAAATAAGGACATCACCTGCAGTGTTGCGCTTGACAAGCTCTACAAAATACAACAATCAAGCAGTCTCTAGCATTTATCATTTTATGGTTCCAGAATTAGAGCCAGTTTCAGTTTTGGCATGTAAAGGCTGCTTCTCCCATGACAATGCACCAATTAACATAACTCTAGATGAGGAAAGAAAACACCAAGCATAACTTCTCACAATTATATTAAAGCAAATCAACACCAGAAAAAAAAAAAAAAAAAAAAAAAAAAAAAAAAAAAAAAAAAAAAAAAAAAAAATGAATGAAATGTGTTGGTGCATAATAATGCTTGTCAAATTTGATGCAATTTTACATAGTTTATTACAGTATAATCAGCCCCAATTTACCTGATGTGCTAGAAGTAACATGGACATTCTGAAAATAAAAATAGCATTGGGCTTCAGGCCAGTGACATTTTTAAGTCACACTCAAAATGTCAATATGTGAAAATGAAAATTTCACAACAGACTGTGTTACCTCAAGGTGAATTATTGTCCTAAAATCATTCTTGCATAAGCTACCAGCACATGGCTTTTGCCCGCTGTTCACAGAAAAAAATTAAATATGATATAACAGGAATTCTTACAAGCCTTTATGATATAAATAAATACATAAGCAATTATAACCATTTACTCATGTTAAGTGATCCATGTAAAGATGAAAAATAGAATTCCTTTATAGACCAAAATTTGAAAACAGTTTGTGTAGTCTAGATGACTGGTGCAAAAATTGCTCAAAAGGTGGAAAAAGCCCAAAATTTCAAAGTGTTGCTTAGCAACCATTGCTAAGGAAGTGAGTTACCTTAGTAACAAGCTAATTGGACCTTTCTTGTTCAGTTTAAATGATTTAAAAAGGCTTTTAATAATGTTTCAAACCATCAGAACTATCACTATACTATTTTAAGACATTAAAAACCCAAGTAAACCATTGCAACAGTTGCTAGGCAGCATATTACCCTAGCAACAAGTATTTAACATTATATATTTAATAATATATACTTAATAATATATATGCAGATATCTCTGTAGCATTTTACATACCCTCCAGTTCCTTCCCATCTTTCTGTTCCCATTCTACATATACTAACATGTTTCTTAATTATTAAGATAGGTACATAAATAGTGTATGCTTGCACAAACCCATATACAACAGGGCCGTAGCCTGAGCAAAATGCCAGGGGGGGCAGTAAGCGGACACGAGGGGGATAAGAAGTTGCTTTTAGTATTTTTAATCCACCTTTTGTTACTACCGATTCCTGACATTTCGCCGAGAAAAACGCTCTTCACTTACTCTTATTTTCTTCACAAAGAAGTCTTTTAAGCCATGTAAAGTTTAGGGCCTTGGTAAAATTTTTATTTGCGGTACCTTTTACCGTCCATTTTTGTAATCAGACGCCATCCTCGCTCATTTTATGTTGTATCTTTTTCCATTCCTGATAAAGTTAAATTTGATATGCATATTTTAAGTATTGAGGGAGGGGGGCTGGTAGGAGAGTTTATACATGCCCTACGTAAGGCGAGAAATACTAAAGGTTTAACCACTGTTGACTTTCCTATTACTGAAAGGTTTCTCAGAGACCAGATTTCCAAGATATTTTTCATTTTGTTCAATATTTTATAAAAAGTTTTTTCACATTGTATTTTGTCAGTTTCTATTCTCTACCAAGTAACTTAAATACACCTGCATGGTTCTATTTTAATTCTTTTTTTAAACAATGAAGTTCAAAAGTTTCTGTTCACACCCAAAGGCCGTTAGATGCCATATCTTACTTCCACCAAGGCTGCTCTACAACAATATAAGAGTATTCTTGCGAGATGAACATATCTGAATCAGCACTACGGTGCCATGTCATCAGATACCATGTGCTCACTCTGGTTGGACTTGTGCGGAACAGTGGGCCCTTGTGGACACATTTGCCAGAAGCTATTGACCTGCCCAGAGTTGCTCCAGTGTGCATGTAGGTGCAGATGTAGAGGCTGACAATGTGCAAGGGCAAAATGCACTGTATATTGCACATACAAGGGAGAATGTAATGTCTTAACTATTGCAAAGTTTTATAAATAGTCGTAAGGTGATAAAAGCATGGAAATGGCTGGTTACTAACTTTGAACATGCTGCCTTAAGTATCTGCACTGGCAATTTATTTGATCGGATGTGTGTAAACACACAATTGGTTCAACCTACTGGATTAAAAGTATGAACATCTTGCTCAAAAGTGTAGTTCTTAGCTAGTATTATAGATTTGCCTTACTTAATAGACTAACGCAACTTTAAATGCTTGTTGCTAGGGTAATATGCTGCCTAACAATCATGGCTAAGGTTAATTTGGGTTTTAATTGCCTTAAAATAGTCTAGTGATAGGTTTGATGCCCTGAAACATAGTTATAAGCATTTCTAAACCATTTAAACTGGACAAGAAAGGTCTAATTAGCCTGTTACTAAGAAAATTCACTTCCATAGCAACGGTTGCTAAGCAACACTTTGAAATTTTGGGCACTGCCCTTGAAAATGATCAGCATAGACCAAAGAACATTTGTGCCAAGTTTCATGCTTTTTCCACATTTTGAGCAATTTGGCCAAAATATAGCACCAGTCATCCAGACTAGTGTAGCAATTCCACTCTGCATGGAGCTTAAGTTCTTTTCTTGCTACTCAAAGTTCTGCACTTCAATATTTCTATTCCAAAGAGTTGCACTGGAGGGAAGCTGTGCTGCAGATATCACTGTGCTTTATGAAACCTCTGGTACAGGCACGACACAGCCTCCATCTGGTACAGCCATACTGCAGCCTTAATCTGGTACCAGTAACTACTGACTGAAGATTTGAAACTATTGTAAGCTTTGCTGTTTCGTATAACTAAATGGTAGCGCATGACATTCAATGGTCCACCACTGTCCATCTTGCTGGTCAGTTGTTGCAGTCAGTTATTGTCCACTGTTCACACCTGAGCTCATAATGCACCAAAGCCTGCTTTTCGTTCCTTCCGTAGTTTCTCCATGTGTGTGCGCTGTAACACATCAGGGTGTGGCTCCCCTGTCCTGCGGTAATACGACCTCTCAAACAAATACTGTTTTTTCACTTCATCAAAGAAGAAGTCATCTTGCATCCTAAAAGTATAAGAATTATGAAATCTAGACTTCACCAATGGTGACTTATATGCATATAAACTATAAAAAGTCATTTTTGATTGTCATTTAACATCAACTGGGGAGTATATTTATAAATTGTTTCACATACAATAAATTGTAGAATGTGTTTGCTGTGACGTTCTGACTGGAAGTGTGTAGGTTGTGTGACAGAGGCAGTGTGTTAGGTGTGACAGAAGCAGTGTGTTAGGTGTGACAGTGTGTTAGGTGTGACAGAGGCAGTGTGTTAGGTGTGACAGTGGCAGTGTGTTAGGTGTGACAGAGGCAGTGTGTTAGGTGTGACAGTGGCAGTGTGTTAGGTGTGACAGAAGCAGTGTGTTAGGTGTAACAGAAGCAGTGTGTTAGGTGTGACAGTGTGTTAGATGTGACAGAAGCAGTGTGTTAGGTGTGACAGTGGCAGTGTGTTAGGTGTGACAGTGTGTTAGGTGTGACAGTGGCAGTGTGTTAGGTGTGACAGTGTTTTGGAATGCTCACCATTTGGCCAGGCAGTCATTCATGCGAGCTAGGGGTGCTTTACATTTCCAAAATAGCCTCTTTCCTTTTTCTTTTTTATCACACAAGAAAAATTCTGAAATTAATAGAGAAGAGCAAATATATTTTAAAGTGCTAATTCACAGTTCTACAAAATCATTACAATATTAAATAAGACATTTGATATTTAAAATCTGACATTAAAAATACAATGTTTTCAAATCATAAATGAAAATTATCAAAAACAAGCCAAAATACTTTCAAATCATTATCTTACGGCCAACCCACATAAAAGTGTTGCTGTCAATATCCTGATGGTCTCCTCACCTGTCCACACCTGCTATTAAATGGATAAAATTTTGGTTCAAAGGTTTAATTGCTAGGCTCCTGCAGCAATAGCGAATGCGAAAGGGGGAAGACATCAGGGTATTAGGGGCATCGCTTTTAGGCCATATTTAGTCCATGGATCTGTAAGTTTGCCAATCACCTGTCCTGAATGTGCTGTAAGTCTATATATACCTGTGGCCTCTTGTTTACATTTCTCATAGTAAGCTAAGTCATACTGTCTATATATACCTGTGGCCTCTTGTTTACACTTCTCATAGTAAGCTAAGTCATACTGTCTATACATACCTGTGGCCTCTTGTTTACACTTCTCATAGTAAACTAAGTCATACTGTCTATACATACCTGTGGCCTCTTGTTTACACTTCTCATAGTAAGCTAAGTCATACTGTCTGTTTCGTATCAAGGTCAGGTCATGGATGCTGACATGGTCTGATTCTGGGTCTCCTGTGGAATTGATAACATACATATACTCAATACTTGTTCAAAATGAAAGAGTATACACCAGTGATCATTTTACCTCTGCGTCCCGCGTCCCTGACGCACAATTTTTACTGTAGACGCAGAGTTTTATAGCATATGCGTCCCCATGGATGCAAAGATTTTAAATTGTGTGAGATTCATAAATAACCTGTCCATATGCATCGCTGATCCGCATAAAATACTAGCCATTAAAGTAGGTTAATCATGTTCGTTTTCCCGTTGTTGTATTGAATGTTACAATAGCTTCCGGTTAGACTGTAAGTGTTAAATGCCAGCTGATTGGCTGTTTACGCATCAAATAGCCAATAATATCAATCGTAAGTAATGGCAAAACTGTTCGTCTGCTTTGCACACTCCACTCTACACTTGACCTATTTTCAACTAAAATAGATTTTGCGCAGTGTTTTCGTCTGCTCAGCGACCATCCGACCATGCCTCCGAAAAAGCAATTATTAATAGACAGTAGCCAACAGACAATATTGAACATATTTAATGTGAGACAGAGTCAAGCCGAGTTAGAGAAAACTTCTGAGACAGTAATCGCTGTGACTGCCATTGAGGCTGAGAGTGACGTGGATGAATTTTTGACTTTCAAACTTGTGAGAACAAAGTTATAAAATCCAAAAGTAAAGCCGTTCTTGCACTAAATAAAGAATAAGGAAACTTGAAAAAATAAAAGTAACAAATTGTTAGTTTTGTGGTAACCTTTATTGTTCAAAATGACAAGGACCCATCACAATCGGCAGGGAACCATTGTTCAATATCATGTGCATCCTGTTGGACTCATAATATTTAAAGGTAAAATGATCACTGATACACTGGGCAATGGAGGAAACACAATTTAGCCAAAATGAGGATATTTATTGTCTTGGGAGTACCAAGCATGTCATTCAGCTATAAGTGTAAGGCTGGCAGTAAGGGTAGGTATATCACAATCCGCTGGGGGCGCTACAGTAGAACCTATCCAACCGCAGTGCTGGGGAAAACTGTTACTGGCCTGCTCACAGGTGGCAGATGACATTCCATTCAAAAATCTTTTTTAGTGCTGTATAAATAAACCTATACCATCCATTTACTAACTAAGCTGGCAGCCAAAGGCTATATATATATTCCAGTTACCTTACCTTCCCATGTTGCTATCTTTGAGAATATTGATTTGCCGATGTTTTGAAGTTTTGAATCGACAAAATGTTTAAAATTTCAGATAAGTACTTCATGGAAGTTTTTGTAATTTACGCCGTGTAAAGTTCATGAAATTTGCAATTTTATGGTGAAAAATCATGAAAATTGAACCATGCGAAGCATAGTTTATTTGACGCGCAATATTTATAGTACATGATCTGAACGGAAGCCATCCCAGCCATGTGCTTGTGCGGTTTTGGTTTTGCTGCAGTTGAGTGATCACTGCTGGTTAGTGGTCACAGGTTTTTAGCTGAAAACTGTGGACACTTTTGGTGAAATTTAGCAGTTAAAAAACTTCAATATCTTTGTTGCCTGTAGGAATATTTTAAAAATTCTAAAATAATTCATCTGTTTTTTGTATTACCTTTCAGAAGATATAGGTATTATAATTTTCTGATCAGTTTGAAATTTTTTTCTAATAAACCTAGTAAGGGTTACAACTCGTAAGACATTTTACGGGTCATCAAGACTTGTTAAAATGGATGGCCTCTAAAAGAAATCGTTAAAAATACAGAACAATGTTGATAGTTTTTATTTTGGCTTTGTGACTACAATGGTATAATAAACTTAAATGAATGGATTTACATTTCTGTTAACCGATAACAGTCTTACCGTAGCCATGAGGCCCTCCCGTGTGGTCGTATTTGCCGTCGTGTTCATGTTTGGTGCCATCTGTGTTGCGGTGGATGTGCGGATATTTAACATTTTCTTGCTGTAGAACCATCGTTCTTTTACTTAATTATATGTCCCCTTTTCCAAATGCTGAATAATTTCAATAACAACGGAAAAGATGTGTCTACTTTTTGTCATCTAGACGACGGTCAGCACTACTTGCACGACAGCCGAAGGTAGTAGCCGGGTCGCTCGTAACATCTGTAAATATATTCCGGTTTTCTCTTTAGGAGTAAGCGAGCAATCGGATTTTGTAAAAAAATTAATCAAAAATTGCTTCTCTCGATTATGTCGTCACATATGAGGGTTTTATGGTATTTTATGGTATTTGCCAGCGTTTGTTCATTTTTTAAATATGATACAAGCAGCTTCCGGTTAGCCATCTTTGGACTTCACAGACGACAAAGCGAAATCCAACAAACACTCGTCAACAAAATTCAATCGTAAAACGAACTTAGAGGCCGATAAAGTAAGTACAATGGAGAAATGCACATTACAGGGTTATTTTAGTTGATATAATTTGTTGTTTACAATATACTTATATTCGAATGGCATCTTGTAATTTTGCCGGGTACGCCAAATAATGTCGAATCATTCAGCTCTTCGACAGCGGAAGAGTCATCAGCCTGTTTTATCTTCATGGACTTTATTTTTCAAATTCACAGATAACCAATTATGGACAGATTACTTCGGTTAGGAGGAGGTTTGCCAGGAATGGGTCAGGTAAGAAAACTAATCCATATACATTTTGCTGGACTGAATTGAAGTAAAATTAATAACGACTCACCGGCTTCTGAAACTCTGAATGTTGTGTGATCCTCAAAGTCTGATGTGTTGTCACTGAGTGCCATCTTTGCAGAAGATCAGGTGGTGTTCTGTTGAAAGCAACCCACAGGTTGTACTTCAACTCCAGTTCTGTATTTAAATGACACATTGTACATTTTCACCAGGTGGGTCAGTTGATCAGTGACAATGTTGGGTGAACTTTCTTGGAGAGTTAGTCAGTAGTATTTGGTCATTCTGTGAAGAACTGACTGAGAACTCAACTACAGTATGGGGGGGGGGGGGGGCAGATATAGGTTTGTGACCTTCAGGGGCAATTTCAACTTGGCCTTTGTGGCACGCATGAACAGTAGTCGATCCACCACACATGGATCTTTGCTTTTTTTGTTTGTTTGTTTTTTGACAACTTTTTATAAGCCATCAGAGTTCTCTTTCAAAACTAAGGACTGACAACAACAAGTACGTCCTATGGATTCATTATGTAGGGCCTTTTTAGGGAGAGTGCAGAAAAATCACCTGCCAGACCAGGGATCGAACCTGGGACCTCTAGCTAACAGAGCGAGTGCTCTACCGCCTGAGCTATCCCTGCGTCTGGCGCTACACTCCTCCCCCCCAAATGCCGAAAGGTGCGAGCCCTATCTCGCACAACCACTGCCACCATCTTAGCGCTGTTTGGGGAGAGTGCAGAAAAATCACCTGCCAGACAAGGGATTGAATCTGGGACGTCTAGCTAACAGAGCGAGTGCTGTACGTCCGTCCGGTTCTACCCTGTGTCTGGCACTACAATTAGTAACATTTCCACAATTCACGGCTTTTGTATCTGTGCCTACAAACCCTGAAAGTGGCTTTAAAGCTGATCTGATAAGAGCAATGGCTGTTTCTCACCCCTCTGTAAGATTACCCCCTGGTATGGGCGATATGAACACAAAATATGTCAGTTCCTTATTGGAGGATCTTATGCTGTGGACTGACTCTCCAAAAGAGGTGGCCTGTCTTGATTTCCTTCGCCACCTGGTAGAAGAAGGTGGTGTTATGGTCTAGCAGTTGATAACACTTGTCTATCCTGGTTGCAGGGCCCTCCTCCAAGTGATGCCCCAGCTGTGGATACTGCAGAACAAGTTTACATCTCATCACTTGCTCTGCTCAAGGTAAGAAATATAAGCCCAGCTGTTTTATTATTGTGGTCTGCTCAAGGTAAGAAATATAAGCCTAGCTGTTTTATTGTGGTCTGCTTAAGGTAAGAAATATGAGCCTAGCTGTTTTATTATTGTTGTGTGCTCAGGGTAAGAAATATAAGTCTAGCTGTTTTATTATTGTGGTCTGCTCAAGGTAAGAAATATAAGTCTAGCTGTTTTATTATTGTGGTCTGCTCAAGGTAAGACATATAAGCCCTTACAATGTGATGGGTATACCGTCTGAAGAGTCGGATAGAACACTATCTTTATGAAGCCAAGTATAGGTACAAGTTAGTTTTCAGATCTTAAAATGTTCACAGCCCTAGGTCCTTGGAGCTGCTACAATCCAGTGGAGCTTGAAGGCCACTCCAAGAGAATTTATATTCCCACACCATGTGACTACAAAAAGCAGCAATACAGATATGAGATAACAACATTATCTACTACATAACACCCACAAGATTACATAAATATCACAGTAATTCCTGCTCCTCCTCCATTTCTCAGATGTTAAAGCACGGCAGAGCAGGAGTTCCTATGGAGGTAATGGGACTGATGCTGGGAGAGTTTGTAGACGACTACACTGTCAGGGTCATTGACGTGTTTGCAATGCCACAGTCAGGAACAGTGAGTAGGAAGCTTGCTTCACTCTTTGTCTTAATAATGTGTCTTTAATAAATGTGTCTAATATGAATATGTGTGTGTGGTACAGGATTTGGTCAAGTGTATTTCAAGCTAAGATGTTGTAAGATATGTATTTAAATGGTTCTGTATATTTCAGGGTGTCAGTGTAGAAGCTGTAGACCCTGTATTTCAAGCTAAGATGTTGTGAGATATGTATTTAAATGGTTCTGTATATTTCAGGGTGTCAGTGTAGAAGCTGTAGACCCTGTATTTCAAGCTAAGATGTTGTGAGATATGTATTTAAATGGTTCTGTATATTTTCAGGGTGTCAGTGTAGAAGCTGTAGACCCTGTATTTCAAGCTAAGATGTTGGATATGTTGAAACAGACAGGAAGGTATGGGAAGTTAACTTGTTTGAATTTTGTGTGATGTTTTTAATACCCGCTTGGACAAAACATGTTTGTGAACATCTTTTCCAGCTGTTACTTACTATCAAAGTCATCAAGTCGATGTGATTGGTATAGATATGTAACATCAGTAATGTGTTACCAAAATGTTCAACAAAATGGCCAAAATTGGCCCTGAAAATAAACATTCTAAAATTGATTCAGTCACAGATGAGGGGTTCAATTTTTACCTTTTCAGAATAGTGTGATTTGTCATCATTTCAGTTATAAATTCATGAAATCATTGTTACCTATAATATAATGAAGGCATTGTTATCTATAGTATCACTAGGTTATTGTTATGTATAGTATCAGTAAGTCACTGTTATTTATGATATAATGCAGTCATTGTTATCTATAATATCATGTGGACATTGTTATCTATAATATCATAAAGACATTGTTATCTATGATATCATGAAGTCATTATGTTCCAGGCCAGAGATAGTAGTTGGCTGGTATCACTCATACCAGGCTTTGATATAATGCAGTCATTGATACCTATAATATCATGCAGTCATTATGTTCCAGGCCAGAGATGGTGGTTGGCTGCTATCACTCACATCCAGGCTTTGATATAATGCAGTCATTGTTTCCTATGGTATAATGCAGACATTGTGTTTCAGGCCAGAGATGGTGGTTGGCTGGTATCATTCACATCCAGGCTTTGGCTGCTGGCTCTCTGGTGTAGATATCAACACTCAGCAGAGTTTTGAGGCTCTGTCTGAGAGAGCAGTGGCTGTGGTGGTGGACCCCATACAGAGTGTGAAGGGAAAGGTAAGTACCTCCCTTGGTCACCAACAGCCCTCTTTTGGTCACAGTTAACACTGGGACACTGCACACATGGGACACCAACATCCCTCCCTTGGTCACAGTTAACACTGGGACACTGCACACATGGGACACCAACATCCCTCCCTTGGTCACTGTTAACACTGGAACACAAACACCCCTCCCTTGGTCACAGTTAACACTGGAACACAAACACCCCTCCCTTGGTCACTGTTAACACTGGAACACAAACACCCCTCCCTTGGTCACAGTTAGCACCGGGACACTGCACACATGGGACACCGACATCCCTCCCTTGGTCACAGTTTACATCGGGACACTGCACACAGGGGACACCGACATTCCATGCTTGACATTACTATGTCTAGGACAACCAATGATTGTCACATTTACACCACTGAACAAAACAGCAGTGTTTGCTCCACTAGACATTTTGGCTTATGTTCCCTGTTATAAATATGTCCTGGTCACATAAGTGGTTGCTACTGCCTTGATATTTATAGTAGTCTCATTGTTCCAGGTTGTTATAGATGCTTTCCGTCTTATCAACCCCAATATGATGGTCCTAGGACAGGAACCAAGACAAACCACTTCCAACCTTGGCCATCTTAACAAACCATCTATACAGGTAAGTTATCACATACCAGACAAACTACCTCCAACCTTGACCATCTTAACAAACCATCTATACAGGTAAGTTATCACATACCAGACAAACTACCTCCAACCTTGACTATCTTAACAAACCATCTTTAGAGATAAGTTACCAGAAACCTTTGTATATATATTAAATCAGTGTTTAAAGGGATAATAACTCTTTGTATAAGGTCCATATTTTACAATAAAAACATTGTGAATAACTCATAGAAATATATATTCTGTTTTACGACAAAAACAGCAGTTGTAGCCTTTATTCTGATATCTGAGCTTGTCTTCAGACCACGTGACCTCCATTGATGGCTATACTCTGTTATAATCTCTTAAGAGATTTTAACAAAAAACCAAACTTTTTAGAAAAAAACCAGGGACTAACTTTGAATGTAAAAATGGATTCATTAACCATTGTTAAGTATGGGAAAATTGTTGTTTACTCCAGGGAAATTCAATTTTTGGCCCAAAAAGAGTTATTATACCTTAAGCATGCAGTGTCATCTTTCTAGTAGTTTTACACATATTTTAGACTGTGGTTTCAGTGCAAAAAGAGTCAGTTGTTGATTCTGTTGTTCTTCCAGATACAATTTGTTGACATGCAACTTTTTCTTTGCTTCCAGGCTTTAATCCATGGTTTAAACAGACATTATTACTCCATAGCTATAAACTACAGGAAGAATGAACTGGAACAAAAAGTGAGTCACGCTGGAAGACAGGGATACATAGGGTTACTGTGTTAGAACTTTTCAAATTCTTTGATATAATAGCCACCTGCAGTTGGTTTAATAGTCACAGTGTACAGGCTACTTAATAACTATGCATCAGAGTTGATTAGTTTTTTATATTTTGTTGGATCCTGTTTTAGATGTTATTAAATCTACACAAGAAAAGTTGGATAGACGGCCTTTCCCTGGATGACTACAACACTCACTGTGGAGTCAATGAGAAGATTGTGAAAGATATGCTGGAACTGGCCAAAAATTATAACAAGGTATGGCGCTGCTAGAATTGGTCAAAAATTATAACAAGGTATGGCGCTGCTAGAATTGGTCAAAAATTATAACAAGGTATGCCGCTGCTAGAATTGGTCAAAAATTATAAGGTATGCCGCTGCTAGAATTGGTCAAAAATTATAACAAGGTATGGTGCTGCTAGAATTAGTCAAAAATTATAACAAGGTATGGTGCTGCTAGAATTAGTCAAAAATTATAACAAGGTATGGTGCTGCTAGAATTAGTCAAAAATTATAACAAGGTATGGTGCGGCTAGAACTACACATACAGATGCATACTACAACCAGTATATGTGTGTATGTATGGATGTATGTATGGAGATATGTATGGAGAGATGTTATATTTCTGTTAGCTAAGATGCCACTGGAACACATCACCATCATATGTATCCTTATCTGTATGTCCTGGAGGTACACACATATACATACATGATCTACAACTGATATATATATATATATATATATATATATGTAATATTGCTGTTACTTCAGATACATCCACATCTGTATGTCTTCTTTCAGGCTCTGGAGGAGGAAGAATCTATGACACAGGAACAGTTGGCCATTAAGAATGTTGGAAAACAGGTACAAACTGAATTCACTTTTATAGTCTTATGTCTGGCTGGAAAATACATTTAAAAATAATGAGCATTCCATTTCATATTTGCATGTGTAAATACTTGGTATGTTATAATCTCTATATGTCCTAAAGAAATTACTTTTTGGTCTATCGACTTCATATTCCTTGCCATTATTTAGACATTAGGAAAAGCTCTTTTTCTTATCATTTCTGTAAGTTGGCCATGCAATAGGAGTCAAATTAAAGAATACTATCTGGAGTGTTGCAATTGTAAACGGTGTAAATGTTAAGTGTTTTCAATATTTTGCCGTGGGCAAAATGGCTTGAATCTTAGTCTGGAGAGAGAACATTTGTATGTGAACTTAAATCAACGAGTTGAATATGCCTGGATCGTTGTTCAACATCTCTTTTTGGACTAAGGGGACAAAAAACTTAGCTGTCGCATTGCATTTGTTCTGTTTCAGGATCCTAAGTGCCATCTAGATGTCTAGTAATATTGTAGACATGTTCTATGTTCTGTTTCAGGATCCTAAGTGTCATCTAGAGGAACATGTCAGTGTTCTGATGTCTAGTAATATTGTAGACATGTTTTATGTTCTGTTTCAGGATCCTAAGCGTCATCTAGATGTCTAGTAATATTGTAGACATGTTCTGTTTCAGGATCCTAAGCGCCATCTAGAAGAACATGTCAGTGTTCTGATGTCTAGTAATATCGTCCAGTGCCTGGGATCCATGCTACATACTGTGGTGTTCAAGTAAATGGAGAGAGGACAAAATGTGTCTTGTGAACATCCTCACTGTAACTATGGCTAGTGACAGAGATCATATGGAGCTGTTTGAAGTGTGTTGTCAGACAGCTGGGTAGAAATGCTGGAGATCATTGAAGTATGTTACAGAACAGAAAACAGGTTCTGCTTATTGTAACCATTAAAGTAGAGAAACTTGATGAACAGAACTGCCAGAATGACTTCTATGTTATTTTCTCTTTAAAAAAATGACAAGTTGATCTGTTCTGTTGAAAGACTTTATTAGAATATGTGAAGAATAAATGTACATCAATATATATACCAATTCTAGACAGGTTTGTTTTTATTGAAGTTGCAAGTAATTTTGGTCAGTAAAGAGGAAGGGGAAGATGTTTCTAGAAAATGTGTATATAACTGTGAACAGCAGACTGATTTAAGATGGGATAATGAAATCTTAGGTCACTGAAGAAAAACACTGATTAAAGGAAAATGAATGTAAAGGGGCGCCTGTTTTACTTAATTAGTGTCAAGATAAATTACAAAAAGTTTTATGATACTTTAAAAATTAGTAAAACTTGTTATAACTGAATACTCCTTTCAGTAAAATGACCCTACCAGATAATAGTATCGGCCTACCTACTGGGTCACCTTGGGATGTCAGCTTCCACATTTATGTTGAACTTCATCATACAATCAAGACTTAATTAATCAGAAATTTAGAAGCTCCTTCAGAAGACCATCAAATTACAAGTGTTTTTAAACCATTTGTTTGCAAACAAGATCCCATGATGCAAGCAAATTTTTCTAAAACTAATAACATTTCTTCACTCGTCTCCACTTTTAATTTTCTCTTTCAATTTTATATACATTAATTTAATATACACCTATTTAATATATTACATCGTGTGTCACCTGTGTGGACTGCTGTATGCCCTCAACCCTGGCCAAGGTCAAGGTCAGAGCAGAGAGCTCCCAACTACAAGCTATGTACAAAATGAACACAATTCACAACAACTGACATACAACCCAGCATCACAGCACTCCTGACCACCTGTGCCTTGTTACTGCTCTAGAAGCCAAGGACAGCGGGTGAAGAAAACTGGCAATAAAGACTTCAGACTGAAGGCTGGTTTATAACCTTATGTCAAAATTGTGCAAATAAATTAAAAGGATGCAGTATTTTAGGCACCACCGACAACTATGATGACAGTAATTATGTGTCCTATTTCACTTATCAACACTATGAAGGCAGTATGAATTTGTAATATCCATTCTCTACAATGAGTTGACACCTCAGTACTGGACTTGTCATCAACTGTGGTCCTGAAGGAATTCTTGACATAAAGCAGGGCGCAGTGTGTCGCAAACATTCAAATCAAAAGCACAAGAAACCCAGGGGTAATCCTCTAGGTAGAAGTTACTGTATGTCCATGGTATGTTAACATCTAGGTTTCCTATAAGAGTGGTTGTTGCTGTGGCTGCTGATATAGTGGACTATTGACACTGTTTGGTGGCCCACCCATATAGCCACCAGGTGGCGCTGTCATTGCACTGATTTGTGGAAGGGAATTCATGGTAGTTGCACTGTAGGATGAAGCCTGCTGGCCAAAGTTTGCTGGTAAACTGGAAAGAATGAAGCACATGTATATCAATTCAAGTTGGCTGTCCAATGTTAGCTGTAACCGGAGAGAATGAAGAAATATAGTTCAAGTTCTTCATTCTCTCCAGTTTACCAGCTAACTTTGGACAGCCAACTTGAATTCATCTACCTATATTTCTTCATTCTCTCCAGTTTACCAGCTGACTTTGGACAGCCAACTAACTGTCCAAAGTTAGCTGGTAAACTGGAGAGAATGAAGAAATATAGGTAGATGAATTCAAGTTGNAGAATATTGTTGAGATGTTAAGATATAGTGTGTATGTAGCTGTGTTGGATGTGACAGTTGATTGTGTTTGGGGAGACAGTAGATTGTGTTGGGTGAGACAGTAGATTGTGTTTGGGGAGACAGTAGATTGTGTTGGGTGAGACAGTAGATTGTGTTTGGGGAGACAGCAGATTGTGTTGGGCGTGACAGCAGATTAGGTTAAGAGAGTTCACTTACCTGGAAAAAGATTGTGGTTCAAGTTGATTGCCTAAATACTGGTTCAATCTAGGATCAGAGGAGTGCCTTGGTAACTGACCTTCACCTTGAGGGAGCACTTGACCTTGGGGGTGACCTTGACCTACAGATGGCAGAGAACCAGGTGGGATATAACCAGGGTGTCCATCAAACATCTGAAACAGACAAATTATCAATTTTAACAACAAAGAGTTGTGTACCAAACGGGAAGTATTCTACCTACCCTAGTTGCACTGTCTGTACATTTGTCAGCTTTACCTGGCTTGCTAAAATCATATCTTTTAATTAATGCTTTGCAATGACAATCTACATTTTTCTGTTTTTCAAAAAGGCTTCAAATGTCAGCATTTGTTCCCAAAAAGTATTCCCCCCCCCCCCCCTTGCACTGTTAAATAACTTTGTTCTTATAGTTTTAGTTGTACCTGAGGGGGGCAGTACTACGCCCCCCCCCCCAATCCCACTTTACTTTTAGTTGTACCTGAGGGGGTGGCTGCATTCCTGGGGGACCTTGACCTTGATAACCCTGCACACTTGGTCCAGACGGTGCACCTTTGTAGCTGTAGCGCGGCCCTTCATTCATCAGTGTGTTATACATCTGCAGAGCCTCACAGACTTTCTGGTTCAACTCCATCAACATATTGTGATTCCTGGAAGAATGTCAAGTGTACCACTAGATTTTGTTTGGTGTGACAGAAGAGATTGTGTTGGGTGTGACAGTAGATTGTGTTTGGGGAGACAGTAGATTGTGTTGGATGTGACAACAGATTGTGTTAGGTGTGACAGCAGATTGCGCTGGATGTGACTTACCTGTCTATCTGCTCCAGTTCCTGGTCTATCAGAGGCCCCATCTGCCTGCACTCTTCTAAAACACAGAAAACACATTGTTATTGTAAACTGTGATATGATTTCCGTTTTCATGGACTACTGTATACTGAGAATCTAACACAACAGACATAACACAATCTTATTGAGCATCTAACATAATACACACTATAAATTTAATGGAACATAGACTAAGTTTCTACCAGAACAAAGACAATGTGTGGTGGCAGTAGTTTACCCTCTAGTTGCAGCATCTCCTGTGTGTCTGGTCTATTCTGGCCTGTAGGATCAGCATTCTGGAGCTGGTCAAGACATTCATCCATCTTAGACTGAAACACACAATAAGATGATATGGGGTTAGTCTGTGAGGAGTCATGGGGATTTCATGAAATACAGGCATTTTTGCATCACGGTGGTTAACTATTCAAGAGAGAGAGAGAAAGAGAGAGAGAGAGAGAGATTGATTACCTCATCAATAACTACTGTTTCAGGGGCAACTTCTATCGTTTTCACTTCTACATCTTCATTAAATGATACCTTCTTATCTTTTGCTGAAATAAAACACAAATGGAAATTGTCATTTCTGGAAGGCAATTAAAGATGCACAGGATAAGATTTCTCTGTAAAAATCTCATCTAAGAAAAGTATTATTTTCTCTAAATAATCAACTTTGGACCATCCTCTCTGGACCAGCTCTAGTGCTGTAACAATCTCGGCGATTTTAAATCCCCAGCTTGCTCTTATTTGTTTGTTTTCTTTTTTTTTTAATTCCAGTCATTTAGAAGACCACATACTGGACTCTGGTTCTACAGTTAACAAGACCACTTACTGGACTCTGGTTCTACAGTTAACAAGACCACTTACTGGACTCTGGTTCTACAGTTAAGTCCGCGGTGACAAAGTTGGCAGGGAAGAGACCCTCGCCCCTGTAGCTGACCCCCTTCCACCAGTTTGGATCACTGAAGTAGAGAACAGTAGAACTAAGTACATTTCTTACTTTAACTCTCTTCTTAGTACATACATCTGAATGACTTATGAATTTTGTAAATCAAGAGCAAAGGACTTCTGTCTCACAAGAAATAGTAACAATTTTGGAAAGACATTAGTATGTAACTGTTCACAGCAGGTACCTGTCATCTAGAATGCTGAGAATTTCTCCAGTTTTGAAGGTCAGTTCATTGTCTTCTGCTGCTTCAAAGTCATACAGGGCTCGTACCTGGCAAAGACAACATAGTTATTTCTTTATCACAGCAGTAATACAGTGCTTGTACTTGACAAAACAAAGTAGTTATTTCTTTATCACAGCAGTAATACAGTGCTTGTACCTGACAAAACAAAGTAGTTATTTCTTTATCACAGCAGTAAATACAGTGTTTGTACTTGACAATAATAACATCATTGATGTGTATGAGAGCAGTTATATAATAACAATGTCCTTATTGTCAAAATTGATAGTGTTAGTCCTAGGGAGCATTATGACACTGGATGTTTAAAAAAAAACTTTCAAAGATACATAAATAAGGTGAAAATTCCCTGTAACACATTTAAATCACTACAGTAACAGTTACTACCATTTTCTTATACAACTACTGTAACAGTCACTACCATTTTCTTATACAACTACTGTAACAGTTACTACCATTTTCTTATACAACTACAGTAACAGTTACTACTATTTTCTTATACAACTACTGTAACAGTTACTACCATTTTCTATAAATACAATTCCACATCAGTCAAATCTAAAACTCTTCAAATTTCTGGCAGTAGTACATTTGACCTACTTACTGGTCCCTCCAGTTAGTGCCAAATGACCTTGTAACGTATGACAGACTACTGCTGTGTGCAATAGCAGAATTATTCAAATAAAAGTTGGCAGAAACATCTACAGGTTATATTTACAGCTCAGAGATTAAGCATGAAGTATCTGTTCAATTACCATTTTTTGGAATTATAAAACAAAACCCTTTGGTATAACTTTAAATTATACTTCTGAAAATATACGGCAGCATTTGTCGGGTTTAGTGACAATAATCTGACGTGCCTACTCATTTTATATGCACATGTATACTACACTAAAATATAACTAAGAAGAAACAGCTTCAAGGTACTTACATTTGACCTCACTCTCTCTTCATCACTTTAACAGAAACACTCAGAATGCTTACTTTTCGTAATTCTCTGTTTTTGTTCTGTATAGGAGAAGGTGCCCTCGCTGAGGGATACAGACTGCTGGTGGCTCCACCTGTTGATGGGTACAAGCTGCTAGATTTTGTCTTCTTTTCTTGTTCTTCTAAAGATGCCGCTATAGCTGGAAATGCATATACGGTGTTAAAATGCTGTTGTCTTAGCATCAAAATTAACTGAAGTGAGCAAGTTTTTAAAAGCAACAACAAAGGGAAAATGTGCACTAAAGCTGCACTGCTCAATGACACTACACACACTGCTAATATATGTTGTGAACAGATTTAAGAATAGTTGTTTTCCAGTATCTAAAAGGTAACAAGCCATGGATGCTTGTCTTTACCTTTCATAATGTCATCTTCTTCCTGCGCTGTGATGTCGGACGAGCCACTGGTAGTACTACTGGATGACTTAGGCTATAATAAAGAGGAAATAACCAATAATTAAACCACAACAGTCCACTACTGTCTTACTACTGCAAACATGTCCCTCTGCCTTCAGACTGCAGTACGACCCCCTCCCTCCATCCCAAGCAAAGGAAGACTTACTGTATCTGAGGAGGTAAAACTATGGCCCTCTGCCTTCAGACTGTGGTACAACCCCCCTCCCTCCATCCCAAGCAAAGGAAGACTTACTGTATCTGAGGAGGTAAAACTATGGCCCTCTGCCTTCAGAATGTGGTACAACCCCCCTACCTCCATGCTAAGCAAAGGAAGACTTACTGTATCTGAGGTAAAACTATGGCCCTCTGCCTTCAGACTGTGGTACAACCCCCCTCCCTCCATCCCAAGCAAAGGAAGACTTACTGTATCTGAGGAGGTAAAACTGTGGCCCTCTGCCTTCAGACTGCGGTACAGCTGAGGGATCAAACTGTAAAGAGAAAACACACTTTGGTCAGTCAACATTCATTTGTGAATAAAGGAGTAATAATTATCTGTCTACAGTAGGCTCTCATAACAAATCTTCAGTATCTGATCTCCTAGTATTATTTCAATTACATGCTGTATACAACAGTAAGACAATAAGTTGATATGTCTACCAGTGGTGTTATCCCTACCTTAATGACGGGTCACTTTTAAAATCTCCTTTTGCCCACTTTTTAATCATTTCCTTCAGCTTCTCTGCCACCTTAGGGTGTGCCTGCTGAAAAGACAAACTAATCATCAGAGATAGAACATCAATGCAAGTACTGACAACATTCTCAATAACAGAATTTAAGATCAGATGTCTTTTATGACTAAGTGGCATTTCACAGAGATCCTGTAAGACCACTCACCTCTTTTTTCTGATCTCAAAATTCAGCCACTAGTTTTCACCCTCTTATACAGTTTTGTTAAGTTAAATTAAAGTGAGTTAAACCTTACAAACCATTACATAATATTTTAAAGACTGCTAAGTACTGTTTAGCTAAGCAAAGTTTTGTGTAAAATGAAACCCAGTGTCGTTGCCAAAACTAAAGAGAGAAATTAGTTGTTATCGTAGATTTGTGAGCTTCACAGCTGTCTCAGATGTTCAAATCCAGAACTTCTAACAGCATACTGGTTGCTGATAACATTTAATACTACATTTACACCCAGTAGACTACTGATCCTATTAACATTGGGGAGTGGTGTTTGCCTCAGATAACATTTAACAGTACATTTACAGCCATGCAGACAAATTCTAACTATGGACACGGGTCTTGTTAACATAATATTCACAAAGATCATTTCTTCACTTAGAAACTCTTTTATCAAAACTTTTTTACAAGTGATACAATTCTTTTCAGTAAAATACCCCCCTCTCTCTCTGTTTGTGAGTACAACCATGTATAATATTGTTTAAGCCAGTTAACTTCCTCTCCTGCCAGTAGATGTCAGTAAAGTAAGTAAGCTTGTAATCTAACCTTTCCCATTATACAAGGTTTGATATCGTCAGTGAAGTCCTTGCTGGCGACTTGCTGGTGAAATACCTTCCCACAGTTGCTGACACACGCGTCCAGGAGCTAAAGTAACATGCAACGTGACCAGTGAGTTCAAGCAACAGTAAAAAATACCCGAGTCATCATGGCCACTACAGATCCATCCCATCATATGAAGCATCATAACTGGACATAACACAGGATACAAACTTTTGTGCCTCATTACAAAACAAGGTCATACAGACGGCTTTGTTGTGTAAGAGACTTTACACTAGAACACATTGTTATTAATTAGAAGGGGGCTTCTCTGCTGTGGTTTTTAATACTTGTTATTACTTCAGATGTTATAATTGAAAATAAATCAAAGTTTTAGAGGCCTGCACTTTTATGACCTTTATGTTAAAATTTCATGTGTTCCCTTTTTCAATACACATTGCTTCACCTCCCAGAAATCAGCACGGAGAATCAAAACCCAAAATTTGATAGAGGTGGTGGACTATATCACACAATATATTTGACCAGTTTCAAACATATTTCCACAGTGAACTGTGTTGCTATATGCAGCCTTTCCTGTCCAGAGACGTGGTAGTGTCCAGCTATGTCCAGTTATGATGAAGAAGAAGAACCTTTGAGTTGACCATGTGACAGTGGCAATATTACAGTGGCAATATCAACATGCAGACATGACAGTTCTGGTAAACACACACTGGCAGTACCCTAGATGGCAGCTGGATCTTAGGAAATAGTTTACTGTATATATATATAGATGTTTCTTAATTTCCAGGATAACCAGCTAGCAGCCAGTGTGGCACTGTCACTGTGGGTACAGTGGAGATTAGGCAACAACCATGTTGAGTCCTGACACCAGGTAGTCAACACAGGATTGCAACCCTGCATCTACTGAGGGTCAGTGGTCAACACAATGGGGGAGGGGGGAGAGTTGCACTTGGTAGGTGGGGGGGGGCAGGTTGCAATCCAGGTTTACTCCCAGAATAAGAACTGAAACAATTTTGTTGCCAACCCATCTTACACATGGCTTCTGAAATGAAACATTGCACACTCCACCAAAGCTGCCAGCATATCTGAAATGTTAAAACAAGCAGTGCTGTCATGTGGAAACACTGATACAAATGGCCCAAGTGTAGACAGGAAGTTTACCCCACAGATCACTGTACCTTGCCACTGAGGACAGCCTTGACCTCTGAGCTGAAATCACGAGAGGCCACCTCCAGGTGAAACGTATGTCCACAGTTGCTGACACAAGAATCTAAGAGCTGAGAATAAGAAAGAAGCAAAGTCAGACAACTACATATTAATTTGTTTTTTCTTCTGGATGAACATATGCTTCACACAATGAAATGTTACTATCAATTCAAAAAGACCAGCAATTAATCAAAACAGAAACAATTTATATTCTCTGAATCTCTTGTCAAAATATATCAAACTTACTGTAAAACTGAAAAGAAAAGAAAAGATTTTCAATGTGTCAGTAATATTTATGATATTTTATAAAAATTATGCCTAAAATGTTTCTAGGTAAGTGAGTAACACAAAAATACATGTTAACATAAAGAAACTAAATTGACAAAAGTTTTGGGTAAAATTACTTTCAACATATTCAGTTCAAGAGGTCAAAGTCTAGGTTCCCAAATATATTTAGAACGAGTCATCTGGATGGACCTAACTCCCTGGGGGTTCAGACCTAACTTCCTGGGGGTTCACGCTAAATTGCTGTCAGCTTCTGGGAGCCAAGCACGCACGAAAGTTAATTACCCCCTTATAGCTTTTAGTAGGCGGAACAGACATTAGAGCCAGTTAAGCTGACAACAATATCTAGTGATACTCCCCAGGGGAATAGATCGATCTAAATATCTGTGGGAATGGTCTCTAAGACATTGACAGGGGTTTAGCCAGGATCTTGATGCAGACCACTAAAAAGGTTTGAGCCACAAAATTAGGAGCTAAAGATAAATGGCCTCAATCAATTTTGCAAAAATAATCTTATTAATTGTCCCCTGTTCAACCTGGGTTGTCAGCCATCTTGACACAGTTTGAAAAGAGCGAGAGTCTCGCATTGCAGCCACTTACAGTGATAGCTTGCATTGAGACTTGTGGAATCTGGTGTTTAATCCTCTTCATTATACTTCTAAGACAATCTTTGGGTCTGGAAAAAATAACCATAATGCTGATACACATCTATACTAATATCTTATTACAGCAATTTTTGAGTTGAGTATTTTATTTACACTTTTAAATTAATACAAGAATGACATCTGCATTCACAGACCCCACCCTAAAGTACCCCTTGATATTAGCTTGTATATAATTCTTACCCCCAACCACCCTCACTCATCACACATTCAAAATACATGATCCACAGACTAACTGATCGAATTTATTTGAGTCATATATGAAACTAGTAGAAGTGGTTTACATGTGTTACTGGAAATCCACGCTCCACCGATGCTCGGTTCGTATGTACCTTTAATTCAGGCTACCCTCACAGAGTACACTCAAAACACATGATCCACAGACTAACCGATCTGCCAAATAAATATGGCGAACCCCACTTAAAAAGTGATGCTGCCAATTCCCTGATGGTCTCCCCGCCTCCATACATGCCCTCCCCCAACACTGTCACAATCTAACTTGTATCTAATTCTCTCTCTCCCTCTTCTCCTCCTCCACACATGCACTCTAACTTTTGACTATTTCTCCTCCCTACTAAACAACAACTTGTGTCTAAATCTGTCCCCACCACACACACACACACACACACACACACACACACACACACACACACACACTATAACCTTTATTCTTACCCATTCTGTTCCCGGCCCACTCTGTCACAGATCTCCATAATGAGAGCCCAGTCTTCAGTAGTGTTCATTTCACTGGTGGCCTTCTCTGGAACAAAAACAAACAGTTTAACTTCTCCATATCACAAAGTTCTATATTGTCAATAGGTATGTCTGAGAAATTATGGAGGACCAACAGGTCACATGGCATCCGTATGTTCCATAAATCAACCAACACCCTGCTCTCAGCCTTGTTGCACTCCAAAACTAAGCCAACCAAAGACTAAGTATGTGGCCCCATCTACCATATGATATGACTCTGGTCCAACACACAAATACACAGCAGAAACTTAGCAGACACTGAGACAGTGATTACAGGAACACTGCAACCTAGACTACCACATAGCCATAGGTGAATATTGTATAAAAACAGGCTACCACAGCCCTAGCCAGAGAGCAACAATGGACCAGGGGAAAGTCAAAGAAGCAGTACACATCAGACAACAGGATCAGTGGCAGATTGAGGCCGTCTTCTGGGTCTTTTGGAAGATGGTCAGATTTTCAAGTTTACGTTGATGGGTATCAAATTTTTTTGTCGGAAGATGGTCAAATATGGAGAAAATATCTGTAGATCCGCCCCTGAGAATCCCACCCTGAACAGAGATGAGGTATATACCGGCTGCCCCCATCTATAACCAGGTTATTCAGCCAAGACCTACTACCCCAGGGTAATAATTGTTCCCAGGTCTTTCTAAACACAGCCAATGACCTGTGGCAAGCAGCCTGACATTGCTCTTGGGATGAGAAATGTAGCTGTTTTAAATATTTTTTTGTTTCAAAGAATGTAATTAATATTACTAAAATCATAACTCAAGTACTTCAAGATCCATTACAATACCCTACCTTTGTAAGCCTGTGATTTCAAAGTACTACCTTTATTTTTCAATAATTAGCACATGCTGTAGATATAAAATAAGGTAAATAAAACATAAAAGTGCTAATGCAGGGACTTCAATTTAATTAAATAAATTTCCAGTTATGCTCTAGCTGGTGTGACTTCCTATGTATGAACACTTTGTTCTCTTTTGTTACTGCAGTGTACGCCATACTCTGTAACTGTGTAAGTGCGGGTTTATATATCATCGACTGATCAAGGTGACAGTTTTGCCTGATTGGGCTACGATTTCATTGTCGGCAGCTTTAAGCCGCCAGCGCCTGTCTCGTTGTTCAAAGCGCAGAAGCCTTGTGTGATTCTAAGATCAAGTGGGGAAGACCTAAGATCTATTTCTGGAATAAAATAAGCCTATTCATGTTTTCCGTATGATGATGAGTCACAGTTAGGATATCGCCGATTATTTTTGTTGGAGAGACATGTATTTTTCTAGGATTCTTGCATACTGACAGAATGATTAGAGATTGAAGTCTTTCAGGTACGTCAACAAGATAAACAACTAAAAATCGTACTCACCAACATCCTGATCAAATGGCGAAGAACTCCCAAACAATCCCATTTTCTCCGGAGATCGCTTCACAGAAAATTTGTTGTCGTTCTTCCTTTACTGTTCTACTACGCATGACCGGAAAGAAGAAGGGGTGTTGGGATTGTCGGCACATCTAACACAATTTACGAGACTGCGGGAAAAACGGTTGGACAGGTGAGAAAATGGCGAAAAACGGCATCACAGGCCAGGAGAAATGCTCACACTAAACGGCACCACAGGCCAGTGGCGCAGCTGGTTCAGGTGGAGTCGAATGTAAGTATAGACCTTTTTCATCTTTTCCGGAAATAGAAATTGCATTGTGGGTAGGGGAGTCCTGCTATGTCGAAACACTTACAGCGGTGCTAAAAACCATGGCTGGGTTTACGTGCTTTTTGTCCCGCTGCTACAATAACAGTAAGCGAGATCGACACATGAGGTTTAATAAGTGGCCAACAAACCCGTTAGAATGAAAAATATGGTAGAAAGAAAGGAAAATATAGCAGGTTTGGGTCAAAAGCAGGGCACCGCGTTTGCGCTGAGCATTTCGAAGGCGGGAAGAAAAACTATAATATTAGGAGATCAACGGTGCTTCAATAAAAAAACAGAAATGCATAGTTAATCAACGGATATAACGAACTATCGGCAAATAGAACTCGGGGGTAAACAATGCGAAAAAAACATTATAAAGATCTGAAGAAAAAATTGAAGAATAGGGGCCTAAAAAGAAAGAAAAAACTTTAAGCATGTGATTATGGAAAAAGAACGTAAAAGCTGTGAAGTTTTACACGGGGATTCTACTTACAAAAAATTCAAGAACTTTCACGACTTTTTGTGTAACAACAAAGAGAAGGTTTGAAAAGTTTTGTATTTAATATCCTTTTTGTGTGTTTTATTGATAAGTGATCACTTTAAATGTAGTAGGCCTATCACAGATTTTAGTCTCTCATAACCCTCAGTAGGGTGGGTTCTATTTTTTTTAACGTGAGACGTTAATAAAATTTTCATTATTATATAGCCAGTCCCGTATACGTATTACTGATTTGTACCAACGGGGCTCATATTATCAAGACCAACAGAGACATACGAAGAAGAAGGTACATCGGCTCTTATTGAACGCGTTATCGGCAAAATAAAAAAGTTATTTATTTCTGAACTCAATGACAAGAGAATTGGAAAATTCAATGGGCATATATTGTTATTTACAAAAAAAAAAAAAAAAATGCAGAAAAGCCTTTCTGTAAGCTACACGTGCATAATACATGTATGGTAAAGACAAAATGGATAATAAAAATAATCTAACAACGTATTTGTAAAGTAATACAAATATGCTTAGTATTAAAGTAGGCCTACCCTGTACGTATATTTAACTGTTTTAGATAGTTGAAAAGTATGAAATGTGTGGAAAACACTTTATTTGAATGATTTTATTGTCTTTGATTGAAAACGATGAAAATACGCATAAAAACATTTAAAAATCAAATAATTTGGCCTCTTGCTATAATTTTGTTTTTGCCTGTTTTGTTTCAGTTTGACAAAATTTTCATACTTGTCAGACCGAAAGTCTGACATTTTTTACCTGTCGTAAATTTTGTACATATACTAGAGTAAGAGACGGTAAACTTTAATTATCGCCTGGGAAAGAGTCGAGAATTCCTGTCTCACCTTTTTAACACTTAAAGTTAGAAGGTTTTAATTACAGAGGAAAGGTCGTAGTTGTGGCCGCCCCCCTTACCGAACAATTGAACAAGTAACACCTGATGCCTTATCAGGTACCAAACGATTTAATCAGTTCACCGACGAACAATATGCGCGTCAGTTTTACCTGTATACACAGTAGGTACGAGTCAAACAATGCAGGGAATCTTTTCAGTTTATCATTTCAAAATCTCATAAGACATCCTTCAAACAAGACAGAAAAATCGTAATGAATTGATACTGCCGGTAAATGAGGTAATATCGCCACAGCTTGCATATATACATCAAATATTGTGAAGACGTAGGTACGCACCTGTCCACACTCTTGAAAGCTGTGTACGAGTCTACTGGCTATTTTGATTTTACATATAAAAAAATAACGAGTCTCTTTCGCATATCTTTATTATCGGAAGCATTTAAAAGAACTCTGAAGCTTTAGTTCGTCATCACTATTGAAAGTGCAGCCAAGGCTCGGACGCTTAGGTGAAGTCTAGTTGTACAGCGCATCGTATTTAAACTGAGAAAGAAAACATTTAATTGCTTGATTCTCCGTCCAAATAGCTATTTTCTTGCCTACAGTTTACGCATTTCTGTGCTTCAGCCACCTTTTTAGTTTGACAGAAAGCAGTGCACGCTTCAAACGACCTTTTTATATGCGCACCTTGTACATCATCTACACCTAGCATTGCCATGCTGGAAACAGCAGAGGACTACCATGACCCCTGTGGCGCGCGGTTCCTGTCATGCGCACTTCGTATTTCCGCAAAAGATGAAAAAGGTCTATATGCAAGGAGGGGGGGGGGGGGNCACTCTGGGGTAGTTTTCACTGGGGCTCACTTGGGGTATATTATTCTACCAAAAAAAAAAAAGATTTGAATGTTCTGAGTCGCAGGGTGACTACAACTGTATGTTGGTCTCAAATAAAAAACCATGAGGTCTCTAAAACTGACCATGGTCATTTTCCTATGTAGAAAACTGCTCCTAAGAGTGATGTGGTATGCAGGGTGACAGGTAAATGATAAAACTAAGGGCATCGAATAAATAGGAACTATAGTAAGGTCCATCATCCACCCCTCCTGCGTGCTTATTAATGTAAATAATTAAACTAAGGGCATCGAATAAAATAACATACAATTAAATATAATCACGTGAACGATAATCATGCATGGTAAATCATTTACAAGTTATGATAAGTTTCAGCAAAGATGGAGGGAAACAGGGCCACAAATGGAAGTAATTTTTTTTTAAAGAAGATTCATGTTCTAAAGAACTATGAACTACATGTTTTTTTTTTCTATAAAAAACGAGGTCACTTAATAAGTACCCTTTGACCTTTTTGTTTAGATATCCAAATTCATTTTACCCATAGAAATGTAAAATTGTCATGTGATTGAGAGGTCCCCTTAACTGAGTCATGTGACTTTTGAATTTGTGATATATCACCACCCCTTTGATACTGTACCAGATTCAGAGATGGTATGTACATGTACGGGACGTGACTGGTGAATAGTGCCGAATATTCATTTATGTCCAAGACTGTGTAAACGATTATCTCAAGTAGATCATTCAGATATAGAAATAGAGAGACACAGCCTAGTTCTTATCCAGGAAAACGTCATTAGGAAGAATTCAGCAGCTCGGCACAAGTACACATCTATTCAAATCAATTTACGGTAAGTTTAATTCACATGCTATGTGTTCATGATATAGGCTAGATATTACCGTATTAAAAACGGTTTACAAAGACTAAAAAAAGAACAGAAGTGTTATTGTTTTTTTAAAAGATATACATAAGTATTCCTTGTTTAAAACATACTTCCTTCTTTCACTTTGATTTAATAACCCTTGCACCTCGTTGCTATCTTATCGTAGTGACAAACAAGTATCAGTTCAAAAAGTTCACGTAGTCCTGCAGGTGTATCCTCGTGACTGAGTAACGACGCAGTATTTACAGCACAGCGTTTACAACAACAAAAACGCACCATTTCTTGTAGGGAAAATATAAAATTAGTACCAAGATATAAATAAAAGTTTTTTCCCGCCGGCGTCAGAGAGTATAAAATTAGTACCAAGATACAAATAATAGTTTTTGCCGCCGACGTCAGATAGTATAAAATGAGTACCAAGAAACAAAAAAAGTATTTTCCCGCTGGTTTCAGATAGTGTAAAATTAGTATCAAAAGACAAAAAGAGATATGATAAAATTAGTACCAAGAAACAAAAAAATTATTTTGCCATCGGCGTCAGATAGGATAAAATTAGTACCAAGAAACAAAAAAAAGTATTTTCCCGCTGGTGTCAGATACTGTAAAATTAGTATTAAAAAAAAAAAATTCTTTTCCCGCCGGCCTCAGATAGTATAAAATAAGTACCATGATACAAAAAAAAAGTATTTTGCCGCCGGCGTCAGAGAGTTCCTCCCCAAAATTATAAATGTTCACAAGAAGCCAGAATGAAGGTAATGGATGTCCACCGCAGTACATGTCCTGGAAATGTAAGACCTACAGGTGTCTCATACCTGTGAACACATGTCCTGGAAATGTAAGACCTACAGGTGTCTCATACCTGTGAACACATAACCTGGGGATGTAAGACCTACAGGTCTCTTATACCTGTGAACACACGTCCTGGGATATAAATTCCTTTGACAGTAGTCTAAGTCCTGCGAGCGTCCATTACTATGTATTCCAAGTCCTTCAGAAAGATATCGATGTCCTAGTCAGACATACAGTATTTTGCCAACAAGACTAGTTATAGATGTCCACGACATGGTTTTTACTGTGTAGATGTAGATCTAATGAAGCATAATAAAGATTATTAGTAATACTATTTAATTATAAAAACAAAGGGTAACAGCGGTATCGTGGATTCAAACGCAATTTCCTTTGTAATATTGGTGTGATTGCAATAAAAACAATGTTCCAAGTATTTTTGAAGACGCGCTTTTTTTCGTTAATTTTTTTTTTAATCTTTAAAGCCTGTTGCGGCTTGTAGAGATGTGCAAGTGGCCTACCCTCTACCAGGGTGACAGATATTATAGGCACATTTTTCACATGAGGGAACCAAATGACCGTTTTTTTTATCTAAAGACATATCTGTGAATATCTCGTGGAAAATCAATCTGTGGCCCTGGTAGAGGGAACATGTAGCGTAGCGTGGCGTAGAACCGAAGCAAAGTAAAGCAAAGTAAAAAAAAAAATACTTTGGAACTCTAAACAAGCGTGAGCACGGTTGAATAGGTACCTAATAGTAATGTAGAACTGAGCAAGCGAGTGACCATGAAATAATTGAACTGTTGTTGTCAACATTGGATTTCCCCATAGCGATTTACATGTAAATATTTTGACCACGTATCTGGAAAGATGAAAAGCGCGTTATCAAACCAAAAGTAT